GCTCGCTTACCTTGTTGTCGTCATCCATGATAGCCAACTCTGCAAAATGGGAAGGCTAGCGTTGGCCTGATGGACACTGAACCGTCGATCTAGCGCCGGAATGAATCCGGCCCGGCGATGCAAGTTCGGTCACAGCTCGACTTTGGAAGGACCAGGAAGGCCGGCAGCTCAGGCAAGCCCGGTTGGTGTTTTGCTCATGACGCTAGAACGCATTCCAATTTTTTTTCAGTCAGTCACTGTTCGACGCATCAACTCGACGGAGGCCAGAGTTTCTTTCGCCGCAGCGGACAGGGAAAGTCAAAAGACGACTATGGTATTGAGCACAGGGAGGATGGGGTTACCACCGGCAATGGCACCAGAAGGACAAATCTAACCAAGTGAAAGAGTGACATCTTGAAGATATTGACGGCGGTTGTGGTGGTAGTTCGTCAAAATGAAAGGCGTGACTCTGAGTCGCAAGACTCTGGAGCCAAGGCAGGAACGAATGTAGCAAAAGAGAGTGGAACTTGGTGCAATAATTTCCAGCTTTTATAGAAGGACGACCATGGACTCTTTTGTGAATAGTGGGCCTGGACTGAACAATACTAGAGCGAAAGAAGGCGCAGGATAGAAGGTCACATCACGTGATGTAATTTCCTCGGCAGGTTTCCCGAAGATGTCAATAATACAGAGAAACGATGAAACCTACTCAACTCCGACGGGCGGCGAAAAAGAACACCTGTATCCAGTCTTTGGAGCTTGACTATCCACTGACTCTCCTCTATCACAGGGCCCAAGATTGCGCAATTTGATCCTCGACTGCCACCTCGAGACTGAGCTTCTCCATGCTCCGTCCGCCGCTATCCAGCAGGAGACTCACTATCAGCAGATTGTCCAAGACCTACTGGGATGACGTCCTTCCAGAGCAACCCATAGTTCTGCCCCATCTCCGCGACCTTGCCATCCGTGCCTGCCGCACTGATTCCCTTGCTTACCCTCCCTAAGCTCGTCCGCTGTACTATACAGTACTAGGAGTCAGCTCTTAGCGGCCTTGATAGTGTCCTCAGGACACAATTTTCCGCTCCAGCGGCCCACACACACCTCTGCTTCCACCGTAGACCGTTCTCCTCTCGTACGGGCCTCGGTTTAACGAACGTCCTCCGTTTTTGTTCCCGGCAAACAGATTCGTTGAACAATTGCGAGCTGATCTTCGCCTGGCACGAATATCCCCTGTATCCAACAGGCTTTAAACGGCAACTCGAGAACTTGTCGAGAACGACACTTGATCGGGTCTGGCGCTCGGTCGAGACGATGTACTTGGACAATTGGACCCCGGTGTCAGAGGAGGAAACTCCTCTTTGGAGGAATATACTCTCGTCGTTGCCCGCGCTTCATTGTATCAAGCTCTGTCAGTATACCCAGGAAGAGGTCAATAGATAAAGAGAGCTCAACCAGTTTTCCGAGTCCGGGTGAGGATAATGTTGCTCTTGACACGACGACATCAGAGGCCGCAACGGAATGGGACAAGGAAATTCCAGGTATGAAAGCCTTGTGGATTCAAGTCTGCATTGCTACAGAATAGTTTGCTATTCGGATACTTGTTGCTGCGTTGCGCGATATAGACTAGAACTCGAATAGTAGCCCAAAATTCGAGATCGGTAAACGTGAGATAAGCCGACATGACCTTCATTGAGAGAGAGTATAAGTATCGACCTTGAAGAACGCCAGTCCACAAGTGCTCGTGGATATAGCGGCATTAAGCACACGCCATGACCGCCAGCCAGCCACCGACCCAACGAGCAGCCCTAAGTCATTATCGTCCTAATCAGGGATGGTACTAGTAGAGTCACCATAGGGCGATTTGGACTCCGCTACGCTCGTTCGAGAACGATATGGAAGGGACATGACCGAAAAACGCGAAAGAGACGTGGAATGGGGGGCCCGAGTTGGTTTTTTGTAATTGTCGTATGGCTGATCTTGGAATATGATGACTAGTTCTGACTGGTTCCGAGACCACGACGAATGAGGGTGGTGGGAGATGCGGCTCGACATGCGGCATGGGTGTCTGTTGGCCGACGGCTGCGACAGAGCTATGAGTGATAGTGAAGAGGTCTCAGGGAGACACGACGACCGCCCCATGGCAAGAAGCCGTTGCGGGGAACGACAGCGCGGGTGGAGTATGAGACAATTATGTTTTTGTGGTGTTTTGGAGATGCGCTGGTGGTTTGAATGGGAGTTGAAGTCGAATCTGGACAGTATTTACAGGGGCGGATAGGGGAAGTCTGAGACTGCTCCGTCGCCGCCATGTTTCAGATAGCGGGAAGTGGCAAGGCTTTGTAGGCAAAGGTGATGATTTGCTCCGTTGAAGACCGTGTAGCAGCACAATTCGAACAACCTCTCCGAGTTGCGGTGCCTTGCCAGATTAAGAACCGATTTGAGATGAATTGCTTCGCATAACAAATAGGGTGGGGTTGTTTAGTTTGGAGAAACTACATAAGATAGATCGAGTCCGCGAGATGTGATTGCGCTTTTCGCTCACCTTGTTTCCCCACAACACATATCCCTCTCAGTGCCGAGGCTTGACCGCGCATGTTTGGACTGGGACGTAAAACCAAGCGAAGACCGTCTACAACGCTGAAAAGGAGGACAATGAGCGACGGCCAGCAAAGCTTCGAAAGAACGTACTTGTGTCATTTCCCCTCACTTTGATGGCAGAGACGAGCCCTGGGGGGTGCCCATCGCCAGATCGAGCGGGAGGAAGGCGTGCATGCCAACTTGAAGGTCGTCGTAGTGGAGAAAGCACAGAAAGATCGGGCCGAGCCATGCCAGTGTGACCCGATGATCCTCTTTCGCTTTTTGACGACAACCACGAGCACCATGCTCGGGCATCCTCAACCAGACCTCCGCGTCTTACGCCACCCACTAGCGGCTCAAAAGTACAACTGGGTGTGACCTACCTTTGTAGCGCGTTTCCTTTTACGCTGACTAGTTTGTTCTACTCAGGATCGTTTCTGATTCGCGAATAACTACTGAAGGAACGTCTGGAAGGGTGTTCGTGCTGGGCGGAATGAGGCATACGTGGCTGAAGGTGCGTCAACAACCATCAGCGTTTTGTTGACCGCTTCCACGGCAGGACATTCGCTAGCTTCAACCCCAAGCGCCCATGTGAACTTGCAGCTCTGTCACTAGGATCCCTGGACAAGTCTGGACCGGCGAGAGGGGCACATAATGGGTTGCGAGTTTCGTTAACGGCCATTTTTTTTAACATGGAACTTGTTGACATTGCCCTCACTCGCTGAAGACGTTAAACTCTAAACCTACATCTGCTTCGTCCATTATATTCAAGCCCGTTGAAGATGCTCCACCCGTCTTCTTTGCTCGCTACATTGTTCTCCAAATCCAGCATGACCGAGAAGAAATCGGAGCTTCAAGCAAGAAATAAATAGCGGGGAGGCTGCAAGCCTGTGCTTTCAGTGCGCTGATAGTTACTGACTAGCTCTGAGGTCCCGACGTAGACTCCTTCGACATGATGGTACACTTCCTTCGACAATATCACCGTATTATCACGTTTCAATACCTCTCCTCTCCAGACCATTGTGCGGACTCATCCAAGGTTTACTCGAAAATTTGGCGTCTCCGCTCCTCGCCAATCTTCCCCGAGGGAAAATGGATTCAAAGCCCGAAAACGCGTAACTCGGAAGGTTTTTTCGAGTCCGACGGACTGCGACAGTCTGCGTGCGGATCCCTACCTCAAAGGTCCTTCGAACCTCTCAATGCATTTTTCCTAAATCCACGCCCACACATCGCAGTATCTGCAGCACAATCCGAAACATTCGAGCCGTGCACCTATCCCAACTCATCCCTACAATAATGCCTATCGCTTTGACGCTCTTCTCACCTCTCCACCCTGGTCCTTTTCCCATCCCAAAGCTATCCTAGCACGTGACTGGTGCCACGATTCGAGACGATAATAAAACTTCTCCCACCATGGGTCTTGTGGCTCTATCGACCGCGTTGTCCAGCTTACCATTGCATATATTCTGTGTGGCCCGTGGAAGATGGGTAGAAGGCTTCCCTTGAGCGCACTTTTGCTCGCAATGGGACTTGGGCGTGAGTGGTAGCGAGGTCGGGAACACGGTCCGTGACGGTGAGAATAACATACTGTGGTGGGGGCGGTATCGGGTGATGCAAAAGAGGATATTTGCAAAGGCTTCTGTGGATATCGCAGAGCCCGCGATACCTTCTCCACGCATATGCTACCCCTTCTTCATTAGTTCTCCGGTGCTGGGGCAGCTGGGCTTATACCAATCGGTGGATATCTTCTATCCCCTGAGGTGGTTTTTGCGTCGTATCTATCCCTCTCCTGCCTGCTTTACTTTTTACCACCATCGACTGTTTTTGCCTTGTTCGTACCTATTTGCTCATGAAGTAAGGATCGTTCTGTTTACTAGATATACTAGTTTGTATTTCTTAACCTTGACTTTATAGTATTTGATCCTATTGCCAAGCTTCAACCTCGCATTTCTTGCTACTGGATGGGAAAAACGAGAAAAGCGTAGATTAAATATATGCTTCCCGGAATCCACTCAGAACGCCATAATTGAGGAAGAACGTCAAGGGGATACTATACTCTGCAATGGTCCACAGTTCGTTCTTGCTATCAATGCAATCCACCCACCTCGAGCACGAACCCGATCATAATTCCAGGGCCGCAAGCACAACAGCCATCTTGACGCGGTGGAGGAGCTGACGGTTTCTGGCGGGGACCTTTTGGAGCCTGGCTGCATTCAAGTTCCGGGAGCGGACTCAGAGGCCGCACATTCGGGCGTACAGACACCCAGATACTCAGAAAGATTGTCGCCAGGCATCCCCAGACGATGTCGAGCAGCGTGCGGCAGGAAGTTTATGTAGGTGCAGTCGTCGCGGACAGCGCGCGTCGACACGAAGTGCGAGAAGCAACAGCATCTTCAACTTGACATGTCGTGCGCTCAAGGTTTGATCATTGGAGAGGATAGATATCGATGCGTGACACTTTATCTTCTGGACCACAAACAACACTTTGCTGGGAGCAAACTAATCTCTACCTGCGCAACCGGACTGAAGCGCGAAGGAGACGAAGTGGCTGGAATAGGCGGAAGGCGAGCGAGCGGGAAAGTGCGTTCTTTGGTTCTTCAATCCATGTTCGTGCCAACCACCTTTACAGCTTCAGCTACTGCATACTATATCATGCCCATACTATGTAGATACCTCGCCAGGGCGCACTTACTCCAGGAAGTGCGACTGGTTTGTCATACACCACTGGTAGGATGTATTGCTATCGTTATTATTTCTCTCACACTTCTCAGCACTTGTTCGCTGTCTCCTCACTCCGAGTCATTCTAAAATCTGGGGACCAAGAGATTGCTGTGTTGGACAATTATACCGGGAGCCGAGTTGCATCATGGCTCAACCCTGTCTACCGTGTTAGATTCACGGGTATGTCACCCACAACCATACACTTCCAGTCTAACCTCAGTAGTAACCCTGTGTGCACTTCCGTCTACCGCGCAGCCTAGTGAGATTACTGTCGACCTTTACATGCATGCACCAGAAACAGCATTGGCGCTGTACCGACCTCGTATACTATGGATGCTTCCGGACGCTGCAAAGAAGCGTCTGCCGTATTCGCAGTTCCTGGTGGATCAACAGCCTCCCCCAGAAATTGAGGCACGCAATGCATGTCATGGACTGGTGTATCGCTCCGATTTGACTAAAATCCCATTTGAAGGTACGATGAGGAGAAGTCAGAGAACTCAATTCTCATTATAACAGTCTCAGCTTTAGTATTACGGCGCACAGAGGACTTCCAGTACCATGAGCAGCTCGTGTGCTGCAAACAGCTATCTCATGCAGCCCCTTGTCTCTCCTGTCGTCAAGGTCATGAAGATCTATGCCGGTTCTTATTTCTTCGAACCTTGGTATCACATGATGGGGTTATAGTCGGGCTAAGTTTTACAGACATCCAACCGGCGACATCTTTGCAAAAGCGAACTGCGTGGCATAGTCCTCGGGATACTGAACACATTCGGCACCTTCGGGTACCATATCTCATTAATGGTCTTCTCTAACATTTCTGACAATTTTCAGTCCTTTATTGCACCTGTCCTTGCACCCGTTCTGCAGCGCGAGGCGGAGCATTTACTGGAACCAAATATTTTGACACACACTCGTCAGGTGGATTATCGTGTCATCTGCGGTAACCGAATCTTCACTCGCATATTCTTTTACGTTCAACTGCTGGGTAGATTGTTGTGGAGCATCTATTTTCAGTGGTGCTTGGCTGTGCCGCACTTGCGGTTACGAGTCATGTTTTGCGTGCTACGAGGCCTTGGCCATTCAAAATTCCAAGTGTACTTCTTCGTCACACGACCGCGAACACTTCTTACCAGTCACCTGCCTCTCCAATGCTGAAGTCAACCAAACCCTAGAGGAAATTAGTCAAACGTTATCAACACTATCAACACCACCTAAATGGAGCCATCCCGTTCGGTCAGAGTTTGACGACTTCCGTGGAGCTAACCTCAAGGTCAGAGCCTACAAGATTTCGGAGTCGGCTGCCACGACGATGACCGAGGCGGCTTTCCGGACTTTATGGGCCCGGGGAGAACCTCTACTAGTGACCGGTGCCAGCAATGGGTTGGAATTGCCGTGGGATCCAGCTTACTTCCGCCACAATCATGGGGAGGAACTTGTGACGGTGGTAGAGTGCCAGAGTGGGGAAACTGAAGAAATGACGATCCGCCAGTTTTTTGATCAGTTTCAATTTGGCAAAGCACGCCCGCGCAGGAAAATCTTACCGTTGAAACTGAAGGTATGTGAGCAACCAATATACACCATGTTTCCACATAGGTCTCTAGGATTGGCCACCCGAGGAGCAATTTGACATCAAATACCCACAGCTCGCAACGGACTTCATGAGAGCAATGCTATTTCCAAATTATATGTGTGGCGATGGTGTCTATAATTTATGGTCGTATCTTCCTTCCAACATAGTGCATCCAGATCTTGGTAAGTCTAAACTTGAAAGTACTATACTATGCTTCAAAGCGGTTAGGGGCAAAAATGTATCTGGCATACGCCAATCTCAACACAGCCGATAAGGTTCAGGGGTCCACCCGCCTCCATTTGGATATGACTGATGCTTTCAATCTCTGTGTCTTTGCTGGTGAAACAAGCTCCTGTGAACCGGGATACGCCACATGGGACATTTTCCCAGCGGATGTTACCCCTGAACTTCGTCGTATACTTCCGCGGGTTTCAAACAGCGGAGCAAAATGCAGAAAAACTCGATCCCATACATGGCCAGCATCTTTATCTCAACGACCAGATGCTGGCAGAGTTGGCCAATGGCGGCATTTTCAGTTACCGTTTACACCAAAGACAAGGTGATATGGTGTTTATACCTGCAGGCTGCGCTCATCAGGTATGGGTCTGGCTACCAGTAGTCATGCTGAAGCTAACTGGACCTTCTAGGTCCACAACATGAGCGACTGTATAAAGATCGCTATGGATTTTGTATCCCCAGAGAATATTCGTCGCACCGTTGCAGTAACTAAGGAGTTTCCTGTTATCGCACATATGGAGGAGGTACTTCAGGTTCAGACAATGCTATGGTTCACCTGGGTATCCACTCAATTGCAGACCTAAAATGTTTTAGTCTCTTGTATATAATTTGTGCCTTCCCCGGCTTCCGACTGTCGTAAGCAACTCTCTTTGAATTCCCAGACCAGGGCCATTTGAAAGTTTTAGACGCTCTCAGTGCACAAAAACCGCCAAACCATTGATTCCTGGTAGCACTAAGGCCTTGAACTTGAACGACGTCAAACGCACACACTTAATCTCGAGCTTGAAATCAAAATTCGTGGTGAGGTTATCCTTTACCGTAAACATGTTCAAAGAGTCTGTACACCGACCTCTGTATGCCAGTGCATACACAACACAAGAAAGGCTGCTCGTCGTAAGTTGGCGTTTCCGGCCGAAGGAACCGAGGTAATGGAGCTATGCTTAGCTTCTTCATCTGGACAACGTTTCCGTGGTTCGAGTATGACCTGCAGCGTCTATGAGATATTTTAGCGTCCTCAATTCGTGACTGACCAAAGAGAAACCTACCAAAAATGACGCGGCAGAGGGATTTCTGAGAGGTCGTACGACATTAGGTATCCTCGGAAATCAGCGGCAGACCGCTACACCAACGAAGCGCTGTGCGTACCTCCTGCCAGCAAAGCACGGTGTGTGTGTAGGTTCCGCGCGGACCCACCTGGGCTTGACAGAGAATTCGTCAGGCGCATTTCGAAACGGAACAACAACTTCGGAATCCCAGATCACGATACAACGATCGCCATAGTAGTCACCGGTTTGGAGTTCAGCTAGAAAGCATTGCTATGTGGAAATAATATGAGTTGCCTCCAGCTAAGAAATCCAACAGCCGTCGTTGACCTTGGACAGAGCAAATAATCACGTCGACGATATCATGATACTCCGGGCAGCGGACGGCTTTGATCTAGATTAAGGGTCAGTATGCACAGTAGAAACAAGACGAACGCTCACTTATGCGAACATCGCTCGGAACTTTGCATGGGTTGCGAGTCATCTATGCACAAAGTATTTAACCTTGCTTTGACTCAAGTGGCTACACACTTACCAGAACATCTCCGAGAACGATATCAGTGGGTGGCCCTTCGGCCTGGAGAAATTATCGTCTCGAACTTTTGAAGTGTATCTCATCCGGTCCTAGAATGCCCAAGTAGTCTGATAGCAGTTAGAGTAGTGCTAAGATCCCACTATCAAAGAAAAAAACTAACCTGGCATGACGAATGCGGCAGCACTTTGCAGTATATCGAAGTTGAAGTTTTGAGCTCTGAACAAGATTTTGGTCCAAGCGATTTGCTTCAGCTGGTCCCGGAGGACTGGCAGCGACTAAGGTGTAAAGCCACTCTCTAGAAGGGTGTTAGTCATCGCGTTTACGCAAAATATGGACAGACCGAGCAACGCCATAACGGTCTCAGCAAGAGATAATCCGGCCACTAAGCCACGGACCTTTGTTGAATCGCAGCTTCGAAGGTATCGTCTTCAACATCGTCCACCTCCTCATGTTGCTCGAAGCCATGAATGCGTGCGTCGCTTGTTAGCTCACGAAACCGTCGTGCTGCATAGACATGTTCACTCTTCTCGACCGCCATGGAGAGCTCCGCCATCCGCTGGAACGAATCCAGATCCTTGTCATCAGTCTTGGCCCATCTTGAAAACGCACAAGTACGTCTGCTGGTACTCCATTGTGTTCTAAATTTATCATGACCTCTGCAGACAACCGAGCGGGGGTTTTGGTGCGGGAAACCGGAGGAGATCGACGGTTGAATTTGCTAAATGTGCTTGCGCAGAGTGGTCATAGACAATTTTGACTTGAGAATCCTTGCGGAACGCAATCCGTGATGCTTTGGAGCTATCATTCGATTGCTTGACGAGCAATAACATTCCCTTGTATCACGTAAGCGCTGGTGCGGTAAACAATGAGAAGGAGCACAGCTACCTTGCCACCTCCCTGACGGACTTGAACTGCACTAGGTAGTGTTTCGAGCTTAAAATCGTGCTGCAGTTTCAGATTGAAAAAGAAGTTGGAGAGGCCGCAACCGTCGTCCGTAGAGGCAACTGGACATGTTATTAGCAAAGCAACGCATAGGCAAAAGCACAGTCTCCATCTCTCACCAATGACATCGATCTCCTCGACACAATCAGGTAAGACAACCGGACCAGGAACAGAGCTGGATAAACCCAACGCAAAGCAAGATGACCATTTACAGAGTAGCTGAATAGATGGTTGGCAGTGTAGGAGATACAAAAATAAAGGACAGACCTGTTTTGAATTGAGTTCCAGCGGGTTGGATCCATTGATGAATTAATAAAGGGAGAGCCCAGTCCCAGTTGAATCGACGATAACGTTGTTCTTCACTTGTTCGTTCGTCTTGAAAAGAAGGACACGGCCTTCCTTGGAGAAAAATGCGCGGGAAGACGCCATCGAAAATGACGAATGGTCTTAAAAAGAACTGTTGAACGTGTCGATCTCCGCTGTGGAGGACCTTCGAGGGGACTCGAATTCACCGAAAGCTTGAAGAACCATACTGTCTGTAGAGGCGGCAGGATGATCCAATGGTACACCGCTCAAGATGAACACTGAATTTTGACGATTCGAATACGAGTGTCCCCGCAAAGCACACTTTGCCGCCATATCCGGGGAAATCGTCGTTGTTACCAAGATTGGCGTCAGCGTTCCTCTTCGAGATGGAGAATAGCCCAAGGTGACTGTGTGCGAAGATTGGTCAGGGAGTTTGCGGGAATATGCCTCGTACCTGTATTCGTTGTTCGGCAGCCAAAGCTTTGTCCCCAAGTCGGCTTGATCGCTGGACCCCACCCTCAGTCAATGTTTCTGCAGCGGCGTCTTGGCTTGAGCCTTTCAGCTCATCAAGACAATCAACAGCAACATGCGTCACGGCCTTCCGACGAACAAGACGAGCGAGTTCCCACTTAACACCAGTTGAGAGTGAAGGCATCATCGTGTCACCCTTGGTGTCTCCAAAGCCAGCCTAAACATTTAGGTATCTATGACTCCCAGATAAGCAGTGCAACTCACGATAAAGAACGGATTGTCAACATTGTCGGAAGCTGTGGTGAAGAAAGAGATCGCATTCTCTGGCTCTTTTGTAATCTAGGCTACTTTGCATTCGCCGCTGGACCCGGAGCGTCATCGTCAATCTTCCTTTTCAATGGACTCGGAGGAGGAGATGGGAGTCCTGAAAATACATCTAAATCGTCTTCAACTTGAAGTTCGTCCAATTGCGCCTAAAGCTCGGATTCCGAGTCAGCATCATGACTGGTGGCCTAACGACCCTGTTAGTGCGCTCGCAAAGTGAAAAAAGGTATACTTGCGTGGGGTGAAGGCTCAGAGCCCATAACAGTTGGAGGAAAGTTTCTTCAAGCACGGCATTCAAGTTGGTAAAATGAATGGCGCCGTGCAAGGTTTTTGGTCACGTGGATAGCCATCGGCAGACTCGAACCAACTCTAGCGGTCATTCCAGAGACTATACTTGCGCTCATCATGCAGAATCCTACCTTGGATTTGGCAACATTTCTCTTCTGGAAAGCTTTCGACGCTATTTTATACGCCAAAACAGCATGTACAGGCGTTTTATGCTTCGCGACAGAGTTCCGCCTAACCCCCAACTGATTGCACGACGTCGACTCGTTCTTCTATTTTTCGCTGCGCATCCATTCAGTTCGAACATGCTATGATTGTTTGTTTCGCCTTCGTTTGTGTCTTGTTCAACTCTTTCCTTTCATCTCCCATGCCCCGTCCGACGAGGCCGTGCCAGCGGTCCTGCCTCCGGTGGCCAGAATCCACACATTCTTCCGGCTCGAAATATCAGTGAGGCATGGTCTTTCTCATATGCGATTTCTCACCTCACGTCTTTAGCCAGACTGGCAAGAAGGAGGACCGCGTCGAGAATGTCAAAAGTGACGGGAACACGATTGTCGTTGCGACCTCTGGGGTGCGTATCGCTGCTCACATCTTTTCTGCGAATGTTAAAGGAAATAAAGGAGTACATTAGTATCAACTGGAATGCATCTGGGGGTGGTGATGCCTTCGCCATTGTCCCCTTACTCCCCCTTCAATGTGACCACATTGTCCACGAAAACTGCCTGTCAACCTCCCTTTTGCCCGCGGTCATACCACCCCCGTTCTCGACACGGACTGGTCCCCAAACGACAGCATTGTCGTGTCAGGCGATGAAGATGGCCAGGTCATGATTTGGAAGCTGGAGACCCATTGCCTTTGACCCTGTTCTTCTGTGCCGGCCGATGAAGCCAACCGAGGCAGGCGCAGCCGTGAGCGCATTGACGGGTTGCCCGGCAGATCAGACAAGTTCTTTTTACGTCAGTCGATGTTGTCAAGCCTTGGGACCTCGCTTCCCCTGAAGACCCTCCAACCGCTCTTACGGCCATGGAGACGGCGATACAATGCCTTTCTTTCAACCCGACTGACACTCTTCTTGCGACCATAAACTACGGATTTTCGACCCTCGTGCTGAAGCGGTGCGCATTACTGACGGGCAGGGCGATATCAAAGGGTCTCGCGTTGTGAGAGAACGACTGGATTGCAACGACTAGCTTCAGCAAAATGAGTGATCGACAAGCGGCCGTTTGGGAGACTGGAGGATTAGGCAACATCCAAACACTCGTCATGGACCGGTGTGCGGGTGTTAACATGACAACAAATATCGTGTTCCTCGCTAGAAAAGGGTGCGAATCGCTTTTCTTTTTCTGCAATTAAATGTGCTAAAACGTGTTAGCGATGGGAAACATCCGGTGCTACGAATACGAATCTGACGCACTCTACATGCCCTTTCCGATCCTCAATGTGGAATGGGCTTCCCTTCCCATGCAGGGCTGAACATTTAGAAAGTAATGGGATCGACTATTGAGCCCATTGCATTCATCGTTCCCCGCAAGGCTGATTCATTCCAATCGAGGTCAACACAGTGGAGCCTTGGCTCGTTTCCCTTATACTCCTATCCTCTCTTTAATTCGGCAACCCAGTACCTTCGACAAATCCACAGTGAACACGGGCATATCATCAAGGTTCCTTTGGTACAATTTCTTTCTCCTTTAAATAACTTCCTGCATGATTTTGAACGCTTCCGTAGGTCCCAGGTCTGATGATATCAAACCTACCATTGATCCCAACTCGCCGAGCTGTCACTTTCCCTGATGTATCCCCACCGTGTTGTTTTTTTCGTATTTTTTTTGCAGAACTTCCATCTTACCACTTATCTTCCACCACCTTGTCCCCCCCGCTTTCTTGTCCACCAAATTCTGCTCTCTCTCTTTTCTTCTTTCCATCGCGAGACTTTGGGGTGCAGTGTAATCAAGACGTGAGACCACAATGATTGTACTAGTTATAAGACTAGCTAACCTTTGGCCTACCCTTTACTTGGAGTGGGCTGCATGATGTCTTTGCCTCTCTCTAAATCCTAACCATTGTCATGGCCGTCCTGAATAATGTGAGGGAAAAAAAACCTTATAAGCGTTTTTAATTTTCAGAACTTCGGCATTGTGATTGTGACAAGTGACGATATTCTCTATGCTTCCTTCTGGTTCAAATTCGAGCGCAAGATTGCTTCTAGATGCTAGCTTTTCAGATGCACTGTGAGTGCCTTGACCTCCTAACTAAGCTTGTGAATCAAAGGGTGCTAGGGCAAGGCTTAGATACCAGTCTCTTCGGGTACTGAGAATCTGAACTTATCCACACATTATGATAGCTGAATAGTTATTAGTCTATGGTTCACGGCTGTGAAGCACAAACCAAAAAACAAGCCTTGGACTGTGTTATCTCGTTAGGCCTGTCATTTGACAGCCGAGTCTTCACCCAGGAGCAAGACTTCGAAGTTATTGAAGGGTCTGTCACTCCTGAGCAACATCGACTTGATGTGGCTCTGCGCAGAAATGCAAGCACTAATGCACAATTTGCGAAAAGAGGTAGGCTTTTACCTATACGCAGGCCTTTTATCTGAGTTTGTTCAGATGATGAACGTTATCGCCCAGAAAAGTCTTGGCATCCTTGCTGTCCCTGAAACTACGACGACTGAGCAGCATGCCAAGGCTGTTGAACCAGAGAACCACCTAGCAGGAGAAGAGCTCACATATGAAAGAGAGGAACCAAAGCGAGAGGAACAAAAGCGAGAGGAACAAAAGCAAGAGATGAAGGAGGTTTCACAATCCGAGGAACCACCTATTGATGGAGCAACTGATGCAACGGTACAAGAGCCCCAAGCGCAGGATCGTCGCATTCTCACCTCTCACCTGCCGACTACTTCCCCCGACGAATCCACGGTGTTTGACCATACGATTGATAACTATCAAGAGATGACTCGTTCGGGTGATGTGGGACTGGAAATAGGCGCTGAACTGGAGAATTGCTTGGTCAGAGAAGGGCCCCAGCAGGAGAATCGGGTGATGGAGGTTGCACAATCCAAGGAATCGCTCATTGAAGCCGCTGAACTAGGGCTTCCTCGTCCCATTTCCACCTCCAATCGGTTGACTACTCCAACTACTCCCCAGGTTGAATCCATGTTACTTGAAGATATAATCGATCGAAACTCTCAAGAGCCACCCCCTCCCTCGCCTGATCCTCTTCTTCTTCCTTCCCCTCTCCAATCTTCAGAGGGAAAACTCCCTTGGAGCTCCGATTGCCAAAATACCCATTTCCAAAACTTGCAAAATAGCGTTTTCACCCCCACTTGGCCTACACATTTGGATAGCTCTGGTCCGGAGTTGAGCTTTGTTGGAGTCACTTCACAGCTTTCTGAAAAAGCTTCAATTTCTTACGCTGGCCCATCATATCATTCCCCCCCTTCTTCTAGACTTCTGCTCTGGATTCATCCGGATCAGGCTTTAGTTTTGCTTATCCCACCCTCCCCTTGTGGGTTTGTCGCCACCATAGATGTTCTCCAAGCTCTTGCTGAACGGGGAATTCTTTCTCCCGGTCAACGCCTTAGGATTTCTACTCCCTTTCAAGGTCACGACATATTTCTGACCGTTGTCTCCCTCGACGAATCTCAATCTCTTCTTATAACTCCTGATCAAATCCTGAACTCGCTTGACCAACTCCCTATCTACGAACAAGCCAACCTCCATTTTGACTATATATGTGGCCCTTTATACGTTGAGGTGACTCTCTCTTTTTTTTAAATGAACACGGTCTAATGACCCAGCCTATTCATGGTACAGGCGAAGCTTATGAAGCTTTGACAGGAAGTACGTCAAAGCCTCAGACCTTTATTGCACCTCCCAAGGCAAAGATCTCCAAAAAGGTAAATTTTATGGCGAGTTAGATTGCTTATTCCTATTCTTTCTAGACAAAGTCTATTTCTAAGGCTACTTCTGAGGTGGCTAGCGTAGCTTCCTCGTCCTACCCACCTTCAGCCCAAAAAAAGTTATCCGCTCCTGCAGCCTTGCTCCAGCTTTTGTTGCTTCCTATCACCAAACCTTTGACGGAAGCTGGCAGCAACGCGGGTAATCCTATTGCCACACTGGTACTGTTGTCCAGTTTAGCGTACGGCCTTGCATCCGGAACTCTGCTGGCTGACCCGGAGTCAACGGTGCCTACAACCATGCCTATGACCAAGGGTAGTATGATCTTGAATTTCATGAGTTCGAGCTGGTTTAGCACATGCAAGCTGTGTGGCTATTATCAAAGCTTTCTGTGGCGCACTCCCAGTTTCAGGTATTTGTTTCTGAACGTTCAGCAATGGATGGGCATACATCAATATGCTGAATTACTTATGCACCTATTGAAGCTAGAAGGCTTCCAAGTGTCTTCTACTTAAATTAGCTTGTATCTTTCCTCTTCGTCGTCGTCCTGTTTTTTAATATATACGTGACTTCCCTGCCTCCTTCCCACGCGTGTCACGTATATAAAACCCTCTCCCTTCCCTTGTTTCTTTCCTCTTACGACTTGCGTGTTGAACACTTTCAGCCTTGCTGCCCTCAGCAGAGTAATGCTTGGGGAAAGTTGCTCCACGCGAACACTCTCTCTCTCTTCTTCTTTTTTTACTGCTGCTTGGTGTGTGTGGGTGTGTGTGCTGGTTTGCTCGACGAATGCCCAGGTACGCGACTTACTTCCCCTCCCTCGTTTTCAGCTATTCATTCAGCCTGTTCTCCCCTAAGAAGGGGTCAGGCCATCGTCTCATTCTGTCTACAACTCCATCCTTGGCCTTTGGAGCTCAAACTCTTGTCTCGCGGCTACTTCTCGTTCTAAGACGCCCCTCCCCCAGTTCCAAGACGCCACTCCCCCCCGATGCTACTCCCTCCAGATGCTGCTCCCTGTTCCCTCGCCGCCACTTCCCCCGCCGCCACTTCCCCCCAAGACACCACTTCCCCCCAAGACGCACCCAAGACGCACCCAAGACGCGACTTCCCAAGACTCAACTTCCCAAGACGCAACTTTTCTTGGAGTCCAAGTTCGTTCCTTAAGACCGAAGTCCACGCTGGTGCGATTGGAAACTTGTTAACCTTGGGACCGGAAATCCACTTCACGCGTGTTGCTAGGAGAGAGCGATGTTAAAAGCACGGGTGGAGCGGTTTCGATCGACCAGCTCTTCAGCCGGGGTCCATAACTGCTGGATGAAAGAAACATTATTTCCTTCTTTAACTTCTTGTTTCCTAAGTCCGACGTCGCATAGTAGTCACAGTTTTGGAAGTTGGGAAGCAATATCACGTCGTTATACTCGGCGCGAGTTTCCTGGGGGTCTATTCAAGTGCCGCGCTCGCGGGCCACGTTCAGGCCCCTCCCCGTTCACCGAGCCGAGTTTCCCGCCCGCGCGTTGTCTGTGTGACTTTGTGCCCAACTCGCTTTTTGCACCCAAGCGGCTCTTCGTCAGCGCTGTCTTCGCGCTGGCTGTTGTTGACAACTGGGATGCCTCTGGGTTCGCTTGAGCAACGATGACAGGTGTCAAACTGGGCCCATTTCCCGCTGGTCATGTTGCCGCCGCTGTCTCCGACTTCCTCGACACCACACTTCCTCGACACCACACTTCCTCGACACCCCCTTCTACATCCGCTCACGACTAGTGCTGGCCGACTTGCTGTGCTGGCCGCCGTTGTCAATGGCCAGCACAGCTCTCCCGATTGTGCGCAACCTCCCACTGGCTGCTCAAAGTCAATGCCCCAACCCTCCCTCGTCACGTTCTCGCTGCCTGTTCAAGTTCCCGACCCATTTTCATTATCTCGGTCCTGCGATATGATCCGAG